TATCCAAATCAATGCATTCCACGCAATCTCGGCCAACGTTATTCCTCTCCAACCATTCATTCAAACCAAGCAGCAACCTGCGCATCCCATTCCGCCATCGCCGCCCGCAACCAAATTCATCCATCACCTTGCTGCACCACTCCAACCCGCTCTTGTAATCACCTTCGTGCTCCGGAGTATCTCTCTTCTGATGCCAGCTTCCATCCCTCATCCGCTCATTCCACCATTCCCTGCAAGACGACCACGTCACTTGCGGGACGATGGGGGGATATGGGACGGTTAGGAGGTGTGTGGGCCTGCGGCCCCCCAACTTGAAGACTCTCCTATTCAATCTCGCATCATCTACGGTATGCAATTTTGCCTTTTTATTTGGATCAGACCTGTGCAGCAACTGTCCTACGCTCATTTCCCAACTAGTTCACTCGCCCGCAGTCACATCACTTCACATCACGGTTGTCAACCGTCCTCACACGGCAACCGTTTCCATCGTTTTCATCACCACCTCGCAAGCCTTAGATTTCGGGCATCTACGACGCACGTACTTGGCAGCATTACCAGTATTCTACTCAGCCCACGATTCCGGACATCTACGACTCAAGACCACCAAATCAGCAGTTGGACCACGACACCGAACATCTACAGTTGGTACGCATCGGACTGTGGTCAGGACCAGGACTACAGGCAAGCCGAAACTTTTTCGGTTGGGCTAAAGGGACCGGATTTGAAGAAGGCCCAAGGTTCGTGGCACTCACCCGGGATGCATCTGGACGTCACCAGCCCGGACGGCACTACTCCCACTGCCTGCGAGAGTATAAGTCACAGGCAGCGCGACAGTGGACGCAGGTTGCTGAGCCTGTTGAATCTGCTGGATCTCCCTTGATCCTCCTTCGCTCGCGCGCCCTCCAGCAGCACTCAGCGCATAAGCAAACCTGCAGCCAGATCAGGTCACTGCATCAGCCGGTCTGAGGAGAGTCGTTTTCTCCTTCGCCAATTTTGGCGAAACGGTCCCACCCGCCCGCGATATGCCCGTGGTGTGTGGCCCTGCGGCCCCCCAACTTGAAGACTCTCCTATTCAATCTGGCATCATCTACGGTATGCAATTTTGCCTTTTTATTCGGATCAGACATGTGCAGTAATAGTGCCTGAGACTCCCAGGATATTTGACAAAAGAAATGGGCCTTGAGTCTGGGCGAACAAACAGCCTGAGGGTTTTGAACAGTCTTTTTGTGCTCTCTGTAGTCAGAGAGTCCTTTCGCAAAGAGCAAGTGGAGAGATGACGCGTGATTTTGACATTTTGGAGAGTCTGACAGCTACCCACACTGTCCAAGAAATTGTACAATGTACAGTTTTATTTGTTTATTTATTTTTTTATTTTTTTCCCTTTTTAAAATGGCGACTGTCTTGAGGTATCATCATTGAGCTGACCAGCCCCAGGCCCCCAGGCAATTAAAAAATACTTGGTTTTGCCCATCAAGTTCCATCATCTGGCGTCTGTATTTCAACAGTGCATCCATGGGTGTACCCACTGAGCTACTAGCCTCTTGTCAACGAGTGAAATTGTACTGTCTGGGGGGGTGTTCGGAGGCCCTATTTCAACAGTTCAGGGGTGTACCAACTAATCTAGGCCAGCTGGGGCCTAAGCTTGTTTCTCTTCCACTACCCTCCTTTGAATTCCCTTTTGTCCTGCCTCCACGTTTTCCGGCTCCTTCCGGCTTACATGCATTAGACTGGCTACAGGGCTCCGGTTTGGGCGCAGTTTTTTTCTCTTTAGTTTTTTTTTCTTTAGTTTTTTTTTCTTTCGGCGAAACATCAGTCAGACTGTTCCTACTACTGGCCCACAATAGTACTGGGGTTGATTTGAAGAGTCGGCCGTAGTAGCTCCTGTATGGATGACTCCAGTCTGTTGGTGTGGAGCTGCACCTTTTAGAAACCAGGTCCAGCCACCCAAATATTTCAGAATGTAATGAAATGAATGTTGCTTTTGGGAAAGAGACAAATCTCTATTCCGCTGTTCTCAGCCAGTGGATGCAGCCGGATGCAGAGGAGACTATTGGCTACAGAAACAGAGAAGAGGAAAGTCCACCATGCTCTCTTGGTAGACCCCTGAACGGCTTAAATGCAGACCTCAGTTTGACTCCAGACGGAACTAGATGAATCATGGAATCAGTTCCACGATGATGCATTGATGATATCTGAAAGGCGGAAAAGAACAGGAAACCGCTGTCTTTGATGCAATGGGATGAAGACAAGATGACGGGCTACAAAAGATAAAAACGGAGGCAACCACTCGATTTTGACATAGCGGTATTGCGAGTTCTGCAAGCTTCACCGCTCCTTTCGGGCTGGCCATGTGAAGCCGTTTCATTGGAATAGTATGAGACCATACTCACACTAGACTTTTGGCCTCTCTTGACTAGTCTGTGTACTCACCAAAATTAATGTCCAAAATGAGAAGATACACTGCCATATTTCTTTGTCTGTTGTGCATGTGGAGAGTAGTGGAGAGAGGGCCACTATGCCCTTAGTATTTAAAACCACCAGGTCTTGGCGCAGCTCTCGGTCCTGGAAAAAAAAATAGGGTAGATTCTGAAACGTTTCTAGTCGGTCTAGCTCAATTGGTTAGGCACGCAAGTGGCATTCAGGAGGTCGTGGGTGCAATCCCCATGGCCACCTGTAGCACTCTTGGTGCCAACCAACTGAGAGTCAGCTGGATCCTCCCAGTCGGTATCAGTAAGGTCTTCAGCCGACACGGGTGTGAGTGCGTGTGTGAGTAGGTTGCATGTGGTGTGGGGGAGAGTGTTGGCTTTAGACACTACTGCTACTCGATGGGGGTGGGGGAGATGAAAAGGGAGGCACAGTTACTGGCAAAATGCTCGGTCCTTGTGTTAGCCGGGCCCCCACCGGCGGCCCCAACCCTGCACCCTAAAACGCTAGGGCAAAGGGGCAAACATGCCGTTACCCCTCTCCACGGAGAGAGGTAACCTCCCTTCACCAAAGAGAGGTAGAAAGCTATGCTTGCAGGGGTCCCCTGTAGAGCCTTAGGAATAGGGGTAGGTACTGAAAAGAAAGATATGTTCCATGACATGGCAGAACGCCAGTTAAAAAGATATGTGAGGTGAGAGAAAAATATATGGCTGTCCCCCGATGAGGTTTCCAGCCCAAGGGCGTCCTCCTCAAGGATGTACTGTTTTGTACTGTTTTGTACAGATGTATTCATGGGACGCTGGGGCCGGTTCCCAGCAGGTGCGGCTCCCCACCAATAGACGGAGCGGCCCGCCAGGCAAAGCCTCAATCCCGGTGGTTCTCTTACCCAAAAAAGAAAAAAGAAAAAAAAAGGAGAAGGCCGCTTTTCAAAAAAAAGAAAAAAAAGAAAAACATTGGGGCACTCATGTAGTGGCCCGTACTTTTCCTAAGATCGTGGCCGCTTGTTTTTTTTTTTTTTTTTTTTTTTTTACTAAAAAAAACAGTCACATGAAAAAAAAAAAAAGAAATAAAAAAAAAAAAAAAAAAAAAAAAAAAAAAAAAAAAAA